TGTCTTAATGAGTTAAGCAGTTAGGGTGTTTGGTATTGAGCACTTAATAGCCATGCAAGATCATAAAGTTGGAAACTTTATGATTAAGGACATCATTTGAGGACTAGATTTGGATTTTGGATGAAATGGATTAAGCTCTTAATAAAAAGAAAAAGGTGGCAGGTGGATACGTTGGGCGTACGTTAGAGTACGTTTCACGTATGTGGTCAAAGGCCCTTTTTGGTCAATACTCTAGTATGCCATACATACAAGCTAAGTACGTTGGGTGTACTAAACTGAGTTGACTTGGTTGACTTTTGACTTTGACCAGGATTTGACTAAGTTTGACAGGGAGTATTTTGAGTTATAGTATGAGTTTTTGGTCACTTTATTTGTAAAGGTGACCAGTAGAGGTGGTATTCAGAGCAGTGTGTTGTTGCAACTATTTCTTCTAACTGTGAGGTGAGTCTCCTCACTGTATCCATGGGTCGAAGGCACCAATGCCGACCAATTATCCTATTATGTAGAATGCTAGCTGTTACATGACTATTTTATATATATATATATATATATATATATGTTTGTATGATCGGGTTGAAATAAACCCCAGGGCGAGGCCCATTATGACATGTTCAAGTTGAAGTAAACCCCAGGGGGGCTATTATGGCATGGTCGGGTTGAAATAAACCCTAGTGTGGGTCCCACTATCGTATGATCGAGTTGAAATAAACCTCAGGGTGAGGCTCATATTTGTTTATTGGGTTGACATATACCCTAGGGCTAGGCCCAATTTATATGTTTGGTATGTGGTAAATTAAGTGAACTTACTACGCTTTATGCTTACAATTTATGTGTATGATTTTAAGTACTTACGGTACAAAAGGGAAGAGCCCGACGTGATGGCACAACATCCTCCCCTCATGATTTCCGCACTTTTGGATACAATTAATTTGATGTTTTGGATATTGTACACTGTTATTGACTTGGACTTATTTGGTGATTGAAACTATTGCTTTTTAAATGAAAAAAATTTATCACGGTTTTTGGGATGTTACTAATAGGACCCACGCCATACCATCCATCTAGCAATTTATTTATCTATCTGTCTATTTGTCCAAACATACACATACAAACATCTGCACTTTTACTAAAGAACATACACCCACATACTTTCTCTCTAGCATATTATAGATCAATAAATCCAACACTACGTACACACTTTCTCTCTAGCATCTTATAACTCAATAAATCCAACAATACCGTTCACCCTCTACAAGAATCCTAAATCAATTTCTGTTAAGATTAAAGAAAATGAAAGAATGAATCATAGAGGTCCATAATTTTTACTAATATCTTGAAACCGTAACCATTGTTTTATGATTTTCGTATGGTAAAAGAGAAAGATTGAAATTAGTGATTAGACTTGAAAGATGAATAAATATTTAACTGCAACAATTCTCAATATTCCCTTCAAGCTTCTCTTATTTTAAAATTGGAAATGCATGCTTCAAATCAGGGATACACAACAAGCGGGGTAAAGATATATTGATGAGATTTATTTTATTCAGTGCTTGGTGGATAAATTGATACAAATGTATATAAGAGAGTAGACTACGTCATCCTCACGTAATCATCTATCACTGAGGCCTATCTCCACATACACACCAACCATCACCAACATTACCCTCATATATCAACCTTCGCCATTTACACACTCTACACCCTGCACCACCCTACAAGCCATTATCTATCTCCATCTACAAAGCTTACACCACTAACCACTATTTCTTACATCATCTTCTTTAGATACCCACCTTGTCCAGACTTGGAGAGAAAGAAAAATCTCAATATTTATCTAGTTTTTTTATATGTTCTTGATTTTTTTTCGATACTTACTAATTGATCAAGAGCGATAAAGAATAACAAAACGCCATAGGCTACAAGGTATTGTATTGATTAAAAGTAGGAGGAGGGTATGAGTTGACCTTCTTTTTCTTCTCTATCTCTGTACACTTTGACGGAAATACAAGAATCTCCAACCTACCCCTAAATCCCATTCTCTTCTCCATTTCTTCCCTTATTCTTGCTCCAACCCTACCCCATTTCCATCTCCATTTGGAGATATGAATAGTATGACCCATATATGGAAGAACACTATTCGTTTCTCGAAAAATGAAGGTGAAGTTTCAATTGTCGGTTTTAGTCTTTCTTTCTTTATTTTATATATTTATAGTTTTTTTTATCAATTAATTATAACTCAGATGTAATATATAATATTTTTTAATATCATATTATATATTAAATTATATTAATTAATCATAAATGTAAAGTTTAATATTTGTCTATCGAATTTATAAGAAAAATCAAATACATACTAAAAACTTGAAACATGATAACATATTTTATAAAAACTTATAATTGAATAATACTTTTTCATAATGAAAAAAGATAAAAATATACATTTGTTCAAATATGATTAGTAGAAGGGGTGTGGTTAATAATTTATGTACGTTGCAAAAAAAATGTACTAGGAATATATTTTTTGGGTAAAAAAAATAGGGTTAAAATGGAGTAGGGTTGGAGATGAAACACTATTTATTCTATTTTTTACTCCATTTTTTGAGGTTAAATGGAGATGGGTTTGAGATGGTCTAAGAAAAAGACAAATCAGACTTAAATCAATTTATGAGCTTCTCAAAAATAGGAGTAAGTGGGAGCAGGTTGGGTGAAATAAGGAGATGAATTTCACCATTGACGACAGCCAGTCGGTGAACTTTTGTTTGCGTAATTTGCATAGATACGTTGAAGTAGAGTAGGATGTTGGTTGGTCGGTGTGGCTTAGTAAAGTTATTGGTGAAGCAATTTTTCGTGTGTAAAAACCCTAAGTTGTGGAATCTTATTGGAACTCAAGGAAAAAAGAGAACATAGCAGGACACCATGCATTTTAGTGAGATAATGAATAGCAAAATGAAGTAGGCTTACTGGGTATTGCATCAATCTCAAGAAAGAAGAAGGGAATAGTAGGCGTTTCCTCCTCCTCCTCCCCCCCCCCCCCCCCCCTCTCTTTATATATATATTATATATATATATATATATATATATATATATATATATATATATATATATATATATATATATCCCTCAATACTTTAATGGAAATAAGAAGTAAAAAAATCAAACATAAATCAGATTATATGCTTCCAAAAAATAGTATTTGTTAGGAGCGAATTGGGTGAATCGGGGAGGACGAATTTCACCATTGGCAACAACGAGTCGGTGAGATTTAGGTTGGGTAATTTACATAGATATGTTTGAAGAGAGTGGGTGGCTACTAGTTGGCTAGTATGGGTTAGTGTAGTTGTCAATGAAGCATATTTTTGTGTTTGAAAACCTTAGGTTGGGGGATCTTATTGGAACTCTAAAGGGTGACAGAAAAAAGAAGAAAACACATCAGACTTAAATCAGTTTATAGGCTTCTAAAAACGGGCTTGAGTGAGACTGGGTTGGGCGAATTAGGATATAAGAATTTCACCATCGGTGACAACAAGTTGGTGAGCTTTAGGTTGGGTAATTTTCATACATACATTGAAGTAGAACATATAATTGTTAGTTAGTCGGTTTGGGTTAGTATAGTTACTGATGAAACAAATTTTTGTGTTTGAAATCCCTAGGTTATAGGATATTGTTGGAGCTTCATGAAACTTTTTGTGGAAAAATCTTGAAAGAAAATCAAGAAAAAGAAGATACAATTGTATGTGTATGTGAGAGAGAGTTAGTCGTTATGGATGCATTTTATATATATTAAAAGAAAATAAACATTAAATATATAAAAATAAAACTATAAAACTAAACCTATTTAGGCCGGAGGGAGTGAGACTCGCCTCCAGCTCGCCAAGGATGCCAAGCCCACTCTCATCAAACATGTTAAGATCCTGTCAAGTTATGTGTATCATGAGGGTACCAAGAGGAAATAGAAGATAAAAAGAAGAGAAAAGGGTTGTGATTGGTTGCTTTTTTTTTTTTTTCAAAATAAAAATAACACAACATTTGGATGCTACAAGTTTCAACAACCTTACAACTTTAATGTTATCACTCTCTCCCTCCTATGTGGTTTAAAAAAAAATTCTATGTAGTTTCAAAAATCTCATGCAGCATCATGGTACTCTCTCTATAGCCTATGACAAAATTTACAATTTAAAAAAAAAATACTAGAATAAAAGAAATCTACAAACTATATATATATATATATATATATATATATATATATATATATATATATATATATATATATATATATATATATATATATATATATATATATATATATATATAAGTTAAAAAAAACAATTTCAATTTGCCTTTATTTCAACTAGAAAAGCAGAAACTGATTTTGCAATAATTCAATAAAAATATATATAAATAAATCTTACTTTCTTTTTCATATAAATTGTTTATTTTCGTTCTCTCTACCACAAGTGGTAGTTGAAGAGAGCGTAATGAATGTTTGAGCTCCTTTCCCCTCTAAAAGTAAATGCAAATATTATTGGCGAAAGATCTTGCATTAAATTAGAAATCAAAGACAGCCATTTGAGGGTCCAAATTTTTGTATGCTTTTAGTGTTTTGAAAAACAGGAGTCATCTTCACTCTTTCTTCCTCATTCAAACAACATTCTTTTTCCACTCTATGCATAAACTTTCTTGACTACGTGTTCTTGGTGTTGTGTGTGTGTGTGTTTGAATTTATTCTTGGACAAAAGCCAAAAGCTTTTGTGTGGATAATGATATTTATTGTTTCTCTCGTTAATTTTGAAGTTTGAATCAAAGGTTTTGATTCCAAAAATCCTTCAAAGTTGTCAACTTTTGATTTTTTGTATCTAGGGTTCAGTCTTGTATGCTGCTTTTTCAGTGGAATTTAGATGGGATAAACAAACAGAAAATACAAAGAACACCCAAAACACTTCTTCTTCTTCTTCTTCTTCTTCATCTTTTCAATCATCTTTCGTCTTATAGATTCGCCATTCATGCATATTTCACTCTGGAAACCGATCATATCCCACTGTTCTTTTTTAATTTCCGATAAAAAGAACAGAAAAAAAGATGGTAGCCATGAAGAAATCAACAGAAACCCATCAGTTCTTCGAAAATTACAAGAAAACAAACTCAGAGAAGCTCTCGAACAAGCATCTGAAGATGGGTGTCTCGTTAGATCCCAAAGTATGGATTCTTCAGACTCCATCGACATCGAAGATAAGAGTTTGGGAAGATCGAGATCGTTAGCAAGACTACAAGCTCAAAAAGAGTTCCTGAAAGCTACATCTCTTGCCGCCGAAAGAACATTTGAAATCCATGACGCCATTCCCGATTTCAATGAAGCTTTTTCCAAGTTCTTAACCATGTACCCGAAGTATAAATCATCTGAAAAAATCGATCAACTGAGAGCTGATGAGTATTCGCATTTAGCTGAAACTGTTTCAAAGGTATGTCTTGATTACTGTGGATTTGGGTTGTTTTCGTTTCTTCAAACTATTAATTACTGGGAATCTTCAACAATCGGTTTATCTGAAATCACCGCCCAATTAAGCAACCATGCTCTGTACGGCGGCGGAGAGATCGGCACCGTCGAACACGATATCAAAACCAGAATCATGGATTACTTAAACATCCCGGAAAACGAATATGGCCTTGTTTTCACAGTAAGTCGAGGCTCTGCTTTCAAACTTCTTGCTGAATCTTACCCTTTTCACACAAACAAAAAGCTTCTCACCATGTTCGATCATGAAAGCCAGTCTGTTAATTGGATGGCTCAAAGCGCCAAAGAGAAAGGTGCAAAAGTTCATAGCGCTTGGTTCAAATGGCCGACACTGAAACCGTGTTCAACCCATCTCACGAAGATGATTTTAAACAAGAAAAAGAGGAAGAAAGATTCAGCCACTGGGCTTTTCGTGTTTCCTGTTCAATCGCGAGTTACAGGTGCTAAATACTCGTATCAATGGATGTCAATGGCGCAACAAAACAACTGGCATGTATTGCTTGATGCAGGAGCTTTGGGTCCGAAAGATATGGATTCTCTCGGGTTATCTTTGTTTAGACCCGATTTCATTATCACTTCGTTTTATAGAGTCTTTGGGTTTGACCCGACTGGATTTGGGTGTCTTCTTATAAAGAAATCAGTAATCGGAAGCCTTCATAACCAGACAACTCAAACCAGTTCCGGCATCGTAAAGATCAGTCCGGTTTTCCCTCTGTACAATTCCGATTCCGTCGACGGAATCCCTGGATTGGCCGGAATCCAAGATGTTGGAGTCGCCGGAAAACGCGAAGGGATGCCGGAAAGTCGTCAACTACCGGCTTTTTCCGGCGCTTTCACTCCTTCTCAGGTGATGGATGTTTTCGAAACAGAAATGGAAAGCTCGATTTTCGAAGATTCAAACAGTATTTCCGTTGGTGAAGTTATGAAAAGCCCTAATTTTAGCGAAGAAGATGAATCCTCTGATAATTCAATCTGGATCAATCTAGGCCCAAGTCCTTACGAATCACAAGCCCATTCAACCCACATTTTGAAAAAAGAAGAAAGCCCGGAGATACAACAAGAATCCGAAGCAAACAGGCCTGGGCCTGGGCCTGCAGTTATACAAAGGGAAACCGAAGGTGAGTTTAGATTACTTGGAAGAAGGGTATTGGAAGAAAATGACGATTTTACCCTTTGTGATGATTACGAAGGGTTAGAATCAGAAAGACAAGAGCCCGGGATATCATGTAGACATCTTGACCATGTAAACATGTCGGGCCTCAACAAGACAACACTTAGGTTGCGGTTTTTAATCAATTGGCTTGTGACATCTTTACTTCAACTTAGGTTACCGGGCTCAAACGGGTCAATCCCACTTGTTCACATATACGGGCCAAAAATAAAGTACGAACGTGGTGCATCAGTGGCATTCAATGTTAGAAACCGAAATCTTGGATTATTTAGTCCGGAAATTGTTCAAAAATTGGCGGAATCTAATGGGATTTCACTAGGGGTTGGGATTCTTAGTCATGTAAGGATTGTGGAAAATACGAAAAATCGTATGAATCTTGCGGACACGACATTGTGTAGACCGATGGATGGGGGATTGGTTAGGGCCGAGGTTGTGACTGCTTCACTTGGATTCTTGACTAACTTTGAAGATGTGTATAGGTTGTGGGATTTTGTTGCTAAATTTCTCAATCCTTCTTTTATAAGAGAATATGGACTTTCGACTGTTGTTGAAGATGAAGATGAAGAGCGATGATGGTAGGAAATGAAGATTTGTGCATAGAAAACAACCCGTTTGGGTACGATTCGAAGCGATTTTCTAATGGGATTTTGTGGATGTATATGTATTTTTATGATAACAAACTTGTGATTTAGAAAGTTTATGGATTTTAGGGCTTGTTTGCAGGGTTTAAGTTAGGTTAGAAGCTTTGTTTATGGAGTTGAAAGAGCTTACGAGGGGATTTTGTTTCATATATTTGTTTATTACTCTTTTTTTATTAAAGAAATGCAGATGACTTTCACTTGGTTGTGGATGCAATGTATTTTGTTTTTCGGTTAATATCATTACATAACAACGTAATTTTACTTCTTGATGCATTTAAGTCCTAAATCTTTTGGAATCAATAGGTCACTAACTTCGTTTTTTTTTTTTTTTTTTTTTTTGCGCCAAATTTATCTCTTCTTCTGAAACAGAAGAGACATCCGTTTATCGTTTCTAGATGGTATCCTATGCATTTTTACTTTTTGCTTCATTTAAGTCGTAAATCTTTTGGAATCAATAGGCCAGTAGACTTCGTTGCTTTTTTTTTTTTTTTTTTTTTTTTCCAAATTTATCATTTCTATTAAAACAGAAGAGACGTCCATTTATCTTTTCTATATGGTATCCTATGTGGCATGTTTAAATCAATTTGAAAAAATATAGAAAATGCTAGTTTAGAACGATTAATTTTAAATTCGGAAATATTGGTTTCAATCTGACTACCAAAGTCTTTTCGCATCTTTTCCTTTTTTTTTTTTTTTTTTTTTTTTTTTTTTTTTTTTTTTTTGCCAAATTCATCATTTCTATTAAAACAGAAGAGATATCCATTTATCTTTTCTAGATGGTATCCTATGTGGCATGTTTAAACCAATTTGAAAAAATAGAGAAAATGTCAGTTTAGAACGATTAATTTTAGATTCGGAAATATTAGTTTCAATCTGACTACCAAAGTCTTTTCGCGTCTTTTCCTTTTTTTTTTTTTTTTTTGCCAAATTTATCATTTCTATTAAAACAGAAGAGACATCCATTTATCTTTTCTAGATGGTATCCTATGTGGCATGTTTAAACCAATTTGAAAAAATAGAGAAAATGCCAGTTTAGAATGATTAACTTTAGATTCGGAAATATTGGTTTCAATCTGACTACCATAGTCGTTTCGCGTCTTTTCCTTTTTTTTTTTTTTTTTTTTTTTTTTTTTTAACTTCATGCTAATGAATATATGTTACTGATATTTGTTAATTTTTTATTGGCCAAGTTAAAAGAGAATATTAAAAGTTTATTATTTTACTGCATATTGATAATTATATGTTCTTTTATAGAAAAATGATGTTGACACCATATAAAACTTTAGAAAATATCCAAAAAATAGCATTGTACTTTATAAAAATATGTTTTTTTTTAACATTTTTTACAAAGGAAAGTACAATGATTTGTTGTGTGAGTATGTGTTGTTTGGGAAAGTTTGTATCGTTGTTGACAACTGTTTTGCCCCGATTTGATTAAAAAAATTATTAAATGTGATATGTGCAAATGGTGGATTAAAAAGAATAGAAAATGTTATTTTTTGTCTTTATTTTGGATAAAGGGCATTTTGGTCTTTTTATATAAAAATGAAATTTAACAATAAAACTTTAGAAAATATGAAAAAAAAATATCACAACATAAAATAGTTTTTAAAAAAATATGCAAAAAAATCTTAATTTCATTCCAGTGATAGTGACAATATTTTGTTAAGAACATGTTTTCTGGAATAGTACATAGGGTCATATTATGGAGAAAGGGTATTTTGGTCCTTTTATAGAAAAATGAAATTTAACAATAAAACTTTAAAAAATATACAGAAAATAGTATTCTACCTTATAAAAATATGAATTTTAACATTTTTGACAAATGAAAGTACTATGTTTTGTGTTATGACTATGTGTTCCCCAAAAAAAAATATTGCAACAAATGTGACCGTTTTGCCCCTGCTCAGAAAATATTGGTTTCAATCTGAATTTCATTCCAATGTCATATTTTCTTAAGAACATGTTTTCGGGAATAGTATACAAGAAAAGGTTATTAAGAAATCCGACTTTCATTCCAATGACATATTTTTTTAAGAATTGTTTTGTCCCGATTTGATTAAAAAAATTATTAAATGTGATATGTGGAAATGGTTGGTTAAAAAGAAAAGAAAATGTTATTTTTTGTTTTTATTTTGGATAAAGGGCATTTTGGTCTTTTTATAGAAAAATCAAATTTAACATATTTTTTAACAACTATTTTCGTATGTTTTGATTACAGTTGTTGGATCTGTAGATGAATGTTTTTATTATAGCAACTTACTTTTAAACTTGAAACCATTTACAACAATATATTTAAACAAAATAACGGTAACGTGTGTTTATGTTCAATTCTGTTTGTTTATATGTCTTTTCCTATTTCTTTGAAAGTGGTCATATATGTTTGGTGTGATGGAATGGAATCAAGAAAATGAATGTAATAGTCTACTATCATTGTGTTTTTAACATGGTTTGTAGTAATCTTTATGCTTTTGAAAATTATAATGATTTATATTGATTACGTATTTGCAATAGAATATAGTTTATTAAAAAAATCCAAATTATAATTCTTTGTAGTAAGAAAAATGAAACACAATAATTTTTGCATAAGGGTATTTTCTCATTTTCAATGAATCTTTCTGTATCTTTGTCTTATTAATCCTTTAATCTCTTATGCTAAATCATATATTAAACTAGGTAAAAAATCGACATTCTGGCACGACATTTGACGACCTCGTCTAAAAAACGGGGTTTCCTTCTGTTTTCTTATTTTTGTTATTTATAAAATCCTTCTTTTATTTGTTATATCAATATGAATATTAATTTTTTTGACGGAAGTATTAATATATATGGTTATCTATATTTTTCTAAATCTTTTAAAAATATTTATTTTTACAAAATTCTTATTTTGCTGTGTGATTCGGTGTTCTAAAAAAATTGCCACATATTTGACTGTTTTATTGTGTGACTAAACATTTAAATTTTAAAAAAGGGCTGAAATTTATTGCATCACTGAGTCCGTCAGCCACCGTTTCCGCCTGCTGCCTCGTCGACAAATGTCGCTGTATATAACAACATACTATATACTAGGACACATATCTAACATATCAATACAATATAGCAACATCCTCTATATCATAAACCAGTGGGCTGGCATTGGTGTCTTCGACCCACAAGTACAGTGAGGAAAACTCACTTCTCGGTTTGAAAAGATAGTTGAACACAAAACAACTCTATATACCAACTCTACATGTTCACATGTACAATAAACAGTGACCTTGTGTCAAACAATTGTTTAAAATACCCAAAATGCCCCCATGTCAATCTTGATCAAAATCATGGTCAAAGGTCAAAGTCAACAAGTCAAAATCAAATTAATAGTAAAGATGGTTAAGTATGCCTCGTGTATTCATCCCTTAGGTTGGGCATAATCTAGGATTAAGCAGACCATCAGGGCTTCAGCCTAGTACGTGCAACATACCATATGGTACACCCGACATACTATGTTTGACCCCTGTAACGTCCTGTTTTGAATCGATTCCCATTGTGGGGTGGTGTTCTAGGAGTGGGTATTATGAGACTTAGAACCCTTGAAGAGTTATTTTGGGCACATTTGGAGGTGGATGATATAGTTTGGATGATCCGGGTACGCGGTTTGTGTTTTGGAGCCCAAGGATACAGGTAAAGGCATTGGTTCATGCCTTTTTATGAATTTTGGATTTAATTTCGGTTGGTTTTCAGACTAAATAAACTTTACAGAAGTGTAGGACTTCTCACTGCCTTTCCGTGGATATAAAGAAA